TGCTTTTCGATTCCTGCTAATTGATGACATAGTATACTCTAAGAAATAAAGAATGCTTTCCGATTTTTTTTCTCTTATGCGTCTACCTAAACCTTGCTCCATCTGATGGAATACGAAAATTCTATAGAACGGTACCACCACAATGCTTACAGTGTCATATATGACACTAGACAATGTAATATGATTTCTCTAATGTTCATTAAGCTCTGAGATAAAAGTTTTACAAACAGCTTCTTAGAGTAAGATGAGCTCCATTGATTGCTGCATGATCTCTTTTTCACAGTCCTGAAATCATGAAGAAATAATGGAAGCACAATGATGAGCCAAAAAGTCCACTTCTTAGACTGTCAGCGAGGTTTCATGGAGTAAAACGGCTTTGAAGCCGTGATATTATGAATTCAAGTAGGGTTTGAGATCAGTAATCTATCAACATGACTGAGTTTGAAATCTGAAACATATCATGCATCTGGATCCTTCGATTTTCGTCATGAAAGGCATTTAAAACATGTCCATATCGATACTTTGGTCGGATGTTGATGCACTTTGATTGCAAAAGTGCACATGAAGTTTTAATTTCATGAATAGACGATTGTGGCCACATCTTCTACGAGTCGGTTTTCTCTTTTAATCCGATTTCTCGTCGAACATCATACTGGTAGGGTAGAAATTTTTCGTACACATCTGGTGGTCGATAATAATAATCAAGAACCAAGTGAAGGGTGTGGGTGTTCGCGTGGATGTGGGCATGCAGCGTGGATCTAAGATTCGTATGAACGTGGATGTAGGTCTTTGCCATCTATTCATAGATACCCGCACCCAAAATAAAATCAACACTCTCACCCACACTTTTGGTTCGATCGAATTCAGAAGATATCCGAAAAAGCTCGTACAATTGTGAAAATTTAGCAGTATTGTCAAAGTACATATGGCAAAACTCCGATTTGCAATCCTAAAAATTAATTTAACTGGCAAATAAATCTGTTGTACATATTCATTATATCTACAACAAGCTTCAACGCATTGTTAAATATCCCGATTACTTTAAGAACACAGGTTTTGGTTATTTCTCACAGCTATTACTTAATCAGTTCATGCTTTTTATGTGGGTGATACGATGACTGTCACAAATTAATGCTTCACTATCTATCATCTTTGACATCTTGAATAAAACTTTTTTATCTAGGAAAGAATCAGAAACTGCACGATTTCGAATATTCACAAATGTATTTCAGCCATTCGAACTTTGAAGACGCTCATAAAATCTAAATTTTGTTCTAAATGCTGTCCAGTATCCTTATTCATTGCTAAGAAACTCTAGAAAAGAAGTTTGGTGTTGGTTATCCTTCATTATGATGGAAATGTATCCATCAATCTTTGCCTAAGTTGTTATTAAAGTGGAGGTTCCGCATAAACTAAGTTTAAAACTTACACTCATTATTTTTCTTGAAAAAATGTATCCGAGTTCTACAAAATCATTGTTTACCTTTAATAATAGTTATATACTCATACCATGCTCTCACTCGATAATCAAGAGCTCTTTTTATATCACCTGATTCTTCATAATTGATTTTTGATAGAAATTGTCCTATTTTAATTTAAAAAAAACATATACATATATAATTAAGAACAAAAGAAGAAAGAAAAAGAAGAATATTTGCTACACAAATTATTTGAGAAGATAAATCAATAAAAATAAATGAATGTTGAAAAAAATCTCTAAAACTAATTCTTCTATTTGAATCACGTTGTAATAGACTTTCAAGTGAATTGCGACATTCAGATGAGATCCAAGTATCATTTGGAATCTATTTTAAAATATAAAGAATTTTATTTTATCAAAGAAATCATTTCAGAGATATATGTATTCACTTACTTCAATTGAAACATCTGATTTTATTTCTTCAATAAGTTCATCAACACATGAAAAACTAAACGGTGGCTGACCAAAAAGGTATTCTAAAAGTATTTAAAAAAATACTATCTTATTTAAAAGTTCAATATTTCAAATTTACTATAAAGTATTCCTGGAGCCATATATAATAAAGTTCCACGACTACCTCGACTACCACGCGTTCCAATATGTTGTGCAGCACCAAAATCTATAAAATAGATCATGTTAATAAATAATATGAAAGTTTAATCATACCAGCTACTTTTAATATTGGTTTATCAACAGATTTTAAAAGAATATTTTCAGGTTTTAAATTATCATATGACTAATTCGTTTTTCATAAAGCAATCTAAATACTCGAGCTCTGAAGAAATAAAACATACAATAAAAACAATGAATGAATATTTATTCATAACACGTACATATTCTTAACAATTTGTTGAACAAATGGTCGTGCACGAGTTTCAGATAATTGCTGTCTAGAACGTATAAACATTGAAATATCACCACCAGCACAATATTCCATTACAATATAGGTATAATTTTCATTCCACTTTGAAAAATAAAAATAAAATATGACGATTTGTTTTTGTCAACTACCTGAAAATCATACATTTTAATAATATTTTCATGTTTAATATGTTTAAGTAATTTTAGCTCATTGATAAGTAAATCTTGAGTAGCTCTGTAAGCGCTTGACGATTGATACATTTAATAGCAAAGAAATCAGGGCGATCGCATGCAGCTGAACTTGGTCGCGATTGAGAAGTCTTAAGTAATAAATAGAAAACAAAAAAAAAATGTATTAATGAAGAAAATAATTCTATTTTTTATTAATAGAGTTTTCATTATCACTGATCAAAGTTAGAACCTGTCTGATTGAATCCGGACTTAACCGAGTAATATTCGAAAAGTAGAAGAGGAATATGAAGAGTATCTCTGTCTTTCACGTGTCGAACAATGTAGTTATTCATTCATGATGGCCTTAAAAAGTAACAGTTCAATTATGAGTTAATTAGTATGAAATCATTATCAAGATTGTCTGAGAAATGTATATGGTGTATGAGTAGCAGAATACAAATAATCGATAAAGTATCTTGCATCTTCGAAGTGACTTGAAGAGTCAGAGTAAAAATTCTTTGTTGAAATTAGGAGTACGATTCAGGTCTAGATTCAAAACTTTTGGACTCAATGCACTCTAACTACAGTTTTCTAATATGAGGTTTCATTGATTTTGAAGTTTTTGTTTGCTTAATAGTTAATGAAAGTTATGTAAATTTTTGTTAGAACAATCTTTCTATTCTGAGAACTGATGAGATTTGAGACATGTGCGTAGGATTATAATAGTTGTCACTCATGTTGTCTTTCTTCTTGTTGCATGTACATATATTCATGTTTGGAGCATCTTTGCTTCTTTCTTTAAAAGTTCTCTCATTCAGTACATTGGAGAACCTTCATTCAGTCTTAGCTGATCTTCTCATAGTTATATTATCTACTATTTCACAATGATATATTACATTGCATACTAGAGAGACTGACAGTTCGTCTTATACGATTTAGAGCAGAACTCTAAATGAGCAGGAAGAAATTCACCCACTAATGGACCAGTATTGTTTGAAAAGAAAAACATGGGTTTAGTTGGACCGAAACGGTTTTTGCGATGAGTGTTCGTGGGTTAGCTCTAGAGTTAAACCAAATTTTCAATAAATATCACATGTTTTCTCCGAAAAATTCCTTTTTTCGAAAAATGTTATCTAATTTTTGTGTTGGCTCAGCATTTCTACCATGAACAGTGACTGAATATACAAAGTCTAACAAAGAAAAATGCATAAAATTGTTTATTTATACTAAAATATTTTGTTTTTATTCAACAAGTATCGTTGTTTCGTTTTCCTCTATCGTCAACAAATACATCATCATCATCTTCGATTATTTTTTCTCTAATTCTATTCCTACTAATTATCCTCAATCATCAATTTCTGTTAAGACGTACTCGCCGACTACTGTTGATAAAAATGTGAGTGCAAGAAGAACAAAGACGCAGACTGATACTCACACCCACACAAACCACTATGGAAATTGACATACCGCTATCAGTCTTGCTTTATATACAGTTCCTATAAATATAAATAAATTCAATCGAAATTAAATATTATTAAAAATTTTCGTTTACCATATGATTCAGCGCCTAGTTTTTCTTCAAATATATAACCAGGCAAATTAGGAATTGGAGTTGCTTCTTGTCGCGTAGCCATTATGTAGTTAGAAATAAAAATAAATTTTTCATTCAAAACAATTAAACATGAAAGCACGAGCTATTATTGAAGATAGATCCATAGAATTACTACATCAGACAGTAAAATAAAAACCAATCAATTAAAAAAAATAATAATAAAAAACAATCACTCGAATATAACTTGCATGATTATTTTATTCCTTTGAGAATTTTATCTTCCAGCTTATGAGGGAAGGCAACGAACTGATAAATCGGTTTTTAAATTTTAGTGTTGGCAATTTGTAGAGCTTGTTGAGTTATTAACTGATATAATAACCATTTTGACCGACAGCGCGTTTAAGAGTAAATCTCTCTATATATAATGTTCAGTGTCTGTGCCGGGGTCGAAGATCAAAGATCAATGAGAGTGGGGGCTGACCTGTGACTTTTTATTTTAGCATAGACACACAGACACTCTCCTTACAATATCACTTTGCACGGATCTATCGCACGTTAATGATAATGATATGACTCATAAAAATGATGAAAACATAAAACTCTTTTACAATTAACAAACGCACATTTTATAAATGAGCTTTCTTCACACAATGAACAAGTCAAGTTAATATTATGAAAACAAATTGGATCGACAGTTTTTGAAATGTTTTTTAGTTCTCTGAAAAATAATCAGCTCTAATCCAAGCATATTTCCATATAGGTGTGAATACATTTGATGTTAATTGATTGCAAATTAGTGATTCTAACTTTATTATTCCATTACGTGATCTCAAATCGTAATTTAATTCATCAAGAGCCACTCTATTGTAACATCTCTTTTTCAAAATTTTTCCGTTGTCTGAAAATAAATATATCCAAAGCAGTGATTGGATACTCAGTAAAATACTTGGTACTTTCGATACTTTTAATGAGTATTCTCGATTACTTAAGTACAGTCTAATAGTATTAGTAAATTTACTTGTATTGAAAGATTGTACTGAAGTACCAATATTTGTACTAATTTACTGGAGTACCAGTATTTTAAGTACAAAATGTACTTTAATCAGATATCAATATCCTTATATATTANTTTATTTATTTCGTTATAAAAATTAAGTGAATATAATTCTAGTTCATAAAATAGTCTGTTTTTCATCAGAGTCGTTTCCGACGAAGAAATGGGAAAACTTGATGGAAATATTAAATATATTGTGAATCTGTAGTTAACGTTCAATATAGTTTACTCTATGGACTCTCACTGTACTCTTAGAGTCCACAGAGTCCACGGAGTCCACGGAGTCCAGTCAGAGTACATGGAATCCAGTTGGAGTACAGGAGTACGAGAGTATGTCGTTTCCCCCTTGGTAGCTGCACACACCTAAATACGGAGAAAATAAGGCATTTTGACAACTGCCAAAGGTACATATTTCGACTGGTGTGAGTATGGGTATGGGCTATGAGCTTGAAAAAAAAAGAAGATGCAGCCACCCCCTCCTTCATACACTCAAAACTACACGCATATTCCTTTTCATTAATGGCATTTTACTTCATCGAGTTTAATTTTATGACGCAACTAGCTTCAACTAATGTATACGTTTTTCATTAAACGCACACATTCGGTTTTCTCTGGTATTTTTTAAATCGTTGTCTAGATCGACAGTTTTATACGTGATTGAATATTTCCTTCATCTTATTTTTCTAAGTTTAGGATGCAAAAATATTCCGCCGACGTATGTAATATATTCCATACTGAAACAGATGAAAAGAAAGACAAAATTATTTTGTGCTCCGTTCTCTTTTACATCTGTCATCGCGTCATATTATGTTTTGCTTAAAGAATAAAAAAGAAACTTCATCCAAATTTGAATGTAGACGTGATGACAAGAATCTTATATAAACATGACTTCTAGTAACGATGAGCAATACAAACTGAGAAACGAAAATAGTTACGTGACCATATTTGTCTATCAAAGGTTTATTCATATTTAGTTAAAGCACAATTTTCAACTTTTAAACTAGGGTGTGAGTGCGGGTTTGGGTGTGGGTGTCGGTGTAAGTAAGGGTTTCGACGCGTGTGTCGCTTTTGTTATCAGTTACATTTACACCCACACCCGCACACAATACCAGAATAACGATTTTAAGACGCTGTTGATGAGATAATGCATTAGTGAGAGATCGAGTGCATTCTCTATCTGGATTGGCAACACAATTACGCTGAATGCTGAAATCCTGAGGATTGAGAATAAATGAACGCTTCTGTTCGATCAACTCAGTTTCAAATTTCTCTCTTCATGTCCTTGTGATTTAATCACTTCAAAATCATAGAATGTTAAAATGCAGATGAAAAAAAAAACAAACGTATGTCAAAACATGTGCAAAGAAAAGAAATACAGACGTCAACTTCTTTCGTATTGAAATGTAACTTGACTTATCGCGAAATGAGCGACTAAAAGGACGTTGCTGTTTTTTCTCTTCTCGACAAACATTATTGAATAAAAAAAGAAGCACAGTGTCATTTTCCATTTTCGATTCGCCACAATCTCTTATTAGACATGTGTTCGTTCACATCAAAACATGTAACTTCGTTGAAAAGAAAGCATCCCATTCAATCAATTGCCTACATTATTCTGGAGTGTTCGATAATGATGAGGAAAATACAGCTCTTTTATAGATAAACACGAAAGTCTCAAGAGACTATCTGTTGTTTTTCTTATTCTTGAAGATCTTTTCATCAACATGCACTACAAATATCGCAATGTCGAACTCGAAACGTTCATTGCTAATTCAAAAGAGACGCCAGAATGGGATTTACGATCGAAGAAACTTACTCATCAAGATATGGAAATTCTGACCAAACAAGGGCTACGAAAAAATAAGGTCAGTGACGTAGTATTCATAGCCACAAAGTTCATGCTAGTCCCATGAGTGCTTAATCTACTTGCTATTCTAAACTCCTGAATAGAAGATCACTACAGTCGTCATACGACTTCATAATCAAGTCTTTACAACACTCTCACTTGAGAAGATCACGGCTCTTTACAGAAAGTTAACCTTGAAAACTAGAAAACATCTCGAATCCTTATTGCAACAAAACTCCAGATCATTTTAAAAACCAAAAACTCATGACTTTCATTACAAAACCTAATGAAACGTGCGAAGATTCCTACCAGCATCCCAAGATTTTCCTTAAGTCTACTTAGAGCACAGATGAATATAATACACGTCGAGTTAGTAGTATCAAATGTCGTTCACTTCCTTTCTCTATCTTATTGGTTCACACAGCAATGCATCACAACAGCCTAGTTCATGACTGATGACGCCACAATGTGCATCATTATGAACCGTTCAACGCTACGTACTACATAGTACTAGATCGTTATACAATAACATTAATAAGAACATCATTGATACTCACAATTATGTACATTGGTCCTTTGCACAAAAAGCCATAATAGAAACCTGCTCCACATGTGCCCGACAACTACTATATATAGTTCCT